TCACAATGGCAATGGGACGGTAATTAATTGATCTACTACTTAAACTAATTTAGTAGCACGTTTTTATTCTGAGTGCGATAGTTTGAACATCGTTACCGACGGGGTCCACAGTGCGTCTCACAACATGGCGGACGCAAGGACAATGACTGGAATATGAATTACTTTATAGTTTGTAGACTTACACTGAATATGCCACACACTCTCCGCTAATATTCACTTCGACCCGGTACTGAGATAGAGTCACATACAAGGCGTGAGCCCACATATAGGCGAACAACCACACCCGGTTGAAGCTATGCAAAAGATTTATCGGCAAAGACAGGAATCAGGGAACAACAATTTCGCAATCAGCCAGTACGCCGTACGCTGCCCGGGTCGTAGACCCTTGGATCTAAGCAAGGCAGAAATTTTTATCTCTGCCCTGCACCCGACAAACTACCAGTACTAGTAATTCAATAATGATGACATCTGAGGAGAGGATGGAAGGAGAGAACCGCGAGTCTTACCTTGATCAGTTTAAGGGTCAAACGAGGACCGATTTCGGTGAGACGGATGGTGGCCTTTCGACAGGTGGCCAAATGGGTGAATCCGTGACTGGCCTTTGCATCCGCCAATGCCTGCTTTCGCTTGCTGGACGCCTTTGTCTTCTGGACGTTTTCAAGGGCCACAGCCGAAGCACTGTTATTGCCAGCGCCTCCACCAGGAAGTTCAACCTCCGCGATGTCATCAACGTCGGACATGCCAGAATCCGTTAACAAGCTTGCCCTGCAAACAGATGGGAAAGATTTAGGTAAGCAATGTGAGTAGATAATGCGAACAGGGAAATGATGAAATTAAGTTCTCTCTCACCCCGCTGTGCTGAAAGCCTATTGCGGCAACCGTAACTGGCTTTTTTACCCTTATTGACTCCTACGCATATCCATCCGGCAGAATTCGAATCCGGTGAAAAAAAGAACCAAACCAGAAACCCGCGCGCAGCCGACCTCCGAAATATTCACTAAGCTTGGCATGCACTTTCTCTTTGACAGTCAGAAATGGTACTTCATATGTCCTTTATATTTGTCAGCTATTTCATTCTGTGCAAACTGCCCTCCCTAAGCAAAAAAGCTCCGTATGGGTGGCAGAGGTCCCGAACAGGCAACCAACCACCAGACCGAAGTAGGCTAGAGTTAGAATTACATAGAGGAATGACGAGACAAAATGCGGGTAGATTGATACAGTCTCTTTCGGGCTTATTTCGCCCTCATTCAGTTGTTCATAACGCTGACTACCAGTTCGGATTGGAACCACAAACAAGCGCTCGAGTACGGCGCAGATAGTCCACACACTGGGTCCAGCA